GGGGCTGTGCATGGTGCTGGGGCTGTGCATGGTGCCAGGGTCGTGCACAGCCCATGATACACAGCGCTGGGGACATGCACAGAGCAGGATGCAGCGTGCTGGGGATGTGCAGGGTGCCAGGGCCACGCATGGCATATGATGCAGGGTTCCAAGGCCATGCACGGAGCAGGATCCATGGTGCTGGAGCCATGCATGGCACAGGACACAGGGTCCTGGGGCTGTGCACGGAGCAGGATGCAGCGTGCTGGGGCTGTGCAGGGTGCCAGGGCCATGCACGGCGCATGATACACAGTGCTGGGGATATGCATGGCACGGGATGCAGGATGCTTGGGCTGTGCAGGATGCAGGGTGCTGGGGCCACGCACAGCGCCAGGGCCACGCAGGGTGCTGGGGCTGTGCAGGGCGCACAATGCACAGTGCTGGGCTATGCACGGTGCTGGGGCCGCAGGCAGTGTACCATGCACGGTGCTGGGGCTGTGCACGGTGCTTGCCCTCCCAGCTCGTGCCCAGGCTGCAGCAGGCACCGCAGACCCATGCACAGTAGATGGTGCTGGGCTATGAATGGTGCTGGGGTGGTGCACAGTGCACGATGGACGGTGCTGGGCGATGCACGGTGTCAGGACTGTTCACAGTGTTGGGGCTGTGCGTGGTGCCAGCGCCGTGCATGGCGCAGGATGCCCGGTGCTGGGGCCATGCACGGTGCCGAGGCCATGCAGGGTGCTGGGGCTGTGCGTGGTGCACGGTGCCGGGGCCACACATGGTGTCCCGACTGTTCGCAGTGTCGGGGCAGTGCACGGTGCCAGCGCCATGCACGGTGCCGGGGCTGTGCATCGTGCTGGGGCCATGCACGGCGCACGGCGCTGGGCTATGCACAGTAAATGGAGCTGGAGCCCCATGCGTGGTGCCAGGACTGTACACGGTACCCAGTGCCAGGGTGATGTGCCGTGCCAGGACCGTGCACGGTGCTGGGGCTGTGCACAGTACCCAGTGCCAGGGTGATGTGCTGTGCCAGGACCGTGCACGGTGCAGGGGCT